ATGATTGTTGGTTGCAGTTTATTGTATTATAGTTAAATCTAGAAGACCCCATTTTAACTCCCAGTGCTGAACTGGCCTTCACAGACATGCATTTAACAAGCACCTATTATCTCTAGATAGATCCTGCAACAAATTCACGTTTAAAAGCAGATATACCAGGGGGTCTTCAAACTTGGCCCTTTTATGACTTGTGGACTTCAATTCCCAGAATTCCTCAGCCAGCGTGCCTGGCTGAGGAATTCTGGGAGTTGAAGTCCACAAGTCATAAAAGGGCCAAGTTTGACGACCCCTGAGATATACTTTCCTAAGACCACTCATGCTAATACAAATCTGTGCCACCATTTGATTTACATTTTACAATGAGGTGTGAAATCTATACAAGACACCTGACATGTTTCTCACTGACAAAGTTCTCTCAAACCTGACACCTGGTGCAGCCATGTTTACCATCCCCAGAACCTGAGCCAATGAGAGAGCAGTTTTTACTTCTTCCTATTTTGCATTCCTCTCGTAGCCTAGCAACAGCACGGAAAGCAGCCTAATGTGCAGGTAGGAGAGAAGGGAAAGGAAAACAAGCCACAAGGTCTATGGGTTTGTGAGAATGGGTTTTGGAGGGAGTAACCCTAATATTGGGCCTGGCCGGGTTTGTAACAGCACAAATAGAGGGGTGACAGTTTAAGTGTATCAGGAGGGAGGGAGGGAGGGAGGGAGGAATGAAGGCTGGAAAGAGGGAGGGAGGGAGGGAGGAGAAAGGAAGTTGGAAGGGAGGAAGGAATAAGGGAGGGAAGAAGATTGGAAGGAAGGAAGGAAGGAAGGAAGGAAGGAGGAAAGGGAGGAGGGAGGAGAAAGGAAGGAAGGAATAAGGGAGGGAAGATTGGAAGGAGGGAGGGAAGGGAGGGAGGAGAAAGGAAGAAGGAATAAGGGAGGGAAGATTGGAAGGAAGGGAGGAAGGAAGGGAGGAGGGAGGAGAAAGGAAGGAAGGAGGAAGGAATAAGGAAGGTGGCAGAGAGGAGAGAGGGAAGGAAGTTGGAAGGAGGAAGAAGGAAGGAAGATTGTAAAGGAGGGAGGGAGTGAGGAAGGAAGGAGAAAGGAAGGAAGGAAGGAGGGAAGGCAGGAGAAAGGAATAAGGGAGGGAAGATTGAAAGGGAGGGAGGAAGGAAGAAAGATTGTAAAGAAGGAAGGAGGGAGGGAGGAACGAGAAAGGAAGGAAGGAGGAAGTAAAGGAGGAAGGAAGAAGGGAAGGAAAGAAGGTTGGAAAGGAGGGGGAGGGAGGGCAGTGAAGCCACTTCCTTCCTCCTAAAGCGCCTGGCAGCCCACCCCTCCGGGCCCATCCCAGGGACATGGGCAACCCCCAAACGTGTCTTGGGGAGGGGGCACCAAGCAGCCCTCCGATGAGGGTGTGTTTGGGGGGGGCGGGGCAAATATCAGCAACACCCTTGCAGGATGCCTGGGGTGGTGGTGGGGGGCTAAGGAGCCACTTTGGGGGAGGGGGCTTCAGCTTTGCAACCGCCTCCCCCTTTAAGCAGCCCCCGATTCCACCCCTGCAACGTCCCGCGGGGTCCCCCGCCCCCACCCCTCCCTCCCTCCCCCCCGGAGAGAACGGGGTCTTGCATGGGGGGGGCTCCAGCCGGAGGAGCCCCCCCCCAGCTGCGGCCATAGCATGAGAAATCCGGCCAGTAAGAACAACCCTAATGAGGAGGGGGGCGCCCCGATGCTGCGACCTCCGCCCAGCCCGGCCCCTCCACTCACTCCCCATGCTGGCGGAGGTCGGACCCGGCCGGGGCTCGGCGCCTTCGGGCTGGCGGGCGGCGGCGGCTGCAGCAGCGGCTCCCCTTCCCCGCCTCCGGCCTCCTCGCCGCTGCGGAGGCTGCCGGCCTCCGCCCACGTGACCAGTGACGTCTTACGCGGCGCGACGAGCAGGGGAGGGTGGCGCCTCTCGGCTCCCGCTAGAGAGGGCGGCTGGACCGAACCAACGCGGCCCAAGTGCGGGGGGAGCGATTTCTCATCGACGCACACACCCCCCTTCCCGCTTTGGATGGGCGGTCTCCCCTCCCGGGGAAAGGAAGGGCGCGCGCCAGCCTTTTTGCAAGCAGGCAGCGGGTACTGCTGCTCCTCGGTTTACAACATTTCCTTTAGTGACCGGTTCAGAGTTACAAAGGGCACGGGAGCCCTTTGCAAGCAGGCAGCCCGTACCGGTGTCCTCGACTTGCATCAGTTCGTTTAGTGACTGCCCAGAGTTACAACGGCACTGAAAAATGTGACTTACACCCGTGTTTCACACTTACAACCGTTGCAGCATCTCCATGGTCACGTGATCAAAATTCAGACGCTTGGCAACTGTCCCATAGTTATGACGCTCCTGGGGTCCTGGGGTCCTGTGATCCCTTTTGTGACCTGATAAAAGTCAATGGGGGAAAGCCAGATTCATTTAACAATTGTGTGACTAACTTATTTCCTACAGTGATTCGCTTAACAACTGTGGCATGAAAGGTCGCAAAATGGGGCAAAACTCACTTAACGAATGTGTCACGTAGCGATGCAAATTTGGGGCTCAACTGCGGTCCTAAGTCCAGGACTACCTGCCTTGTGCCTGGCTGGGGATGATGGGAAGGGGTGTCCAGACCCTTTGGAGGCTGCAAGGAGTGCATTGTCTTGAGGGAAGATCAATCAATCAGATCTGGAAGGGACCTTGGAGGTCTTCTAGTCCAACCCTCCACTCCAGCAGGAGATCCTATACCATTTCAGACAAGTGACTGTCCTATCTCTTCTTAAAAACCTCCAGTGATGAAGCACCCACAACACAACACCCACAACCTCTGAAGGCAAGCTTCACCATTAAAATGTTTCTCCTTAATCCCAGGTTGCTTCTCTCCTTGATTAGTTTCCATCCATTGTTTCTTGTCCTGCCTTCTGGTGCTTTGGAAAATAACTGGACTCCCGTCCTCTTTGTGGCAGCCCCTCAGATATTGGAAGATTGCTCTCATGTATCTAGCACGAGTCCAAAAGCTCAGAAGACAAAACCTCTGGGTCTCAGTGACCAACCCAGATTGGATCCTGCAACTTCATTCTGGGACAAGTAGATTCGCCTTCACTGCTATCCTGTCTCCCCTAGTCTGGGGTAGGCAACCCAAAACACTCAAAGAGCCACTTGGACCAGTTTCCCACCGAAAACAAAACATTGGGAGCCGCAAAAGCTAGCTCAGGGGTAGGCAACCTTGGCTCTTTTATGACTCATGGACTTCAACTCCCAGAATTCCTGAGTCAGCATAGCTGGATGAGCTAGCTCTCTCCTGTTCTTCCTGCTTCCTGCAGAGACGCAGCAAAGGGAGGAGCCCCGCCAAATAAGCTTGTCAGCTCGTTGAACAGGGTGATACCACTCTTTTTTACACACACACACACACACACACACACACACACACAGAGGGGGGGGGAGCGCAAGTGCCTGTCTCTGCAAATGGCAGAGGAGGCTGGGAGGCGCAGGGGAAGGCTCAAAGAGCCGCATTCGGCTCCGGAGCCGCAGGTTGCCGACCTGTGCCCTAGTCCTTCTTTTCTTTAAACTAGACATACCCAATTCCTGCAACCGTCCCTCATGTTTCAGCTGAACGAGAGGAAGGAATGGGATTGGCTGCATCAGATGAAACAAGGATACCCCTGTTTTGTGCAGCATCAAATGCGCTTTTTTCTAAGGTGACCAACTGTCCTCCTTTAGGGAGGAAAGTCCTCCTTTTGTAGGTTCTCTCCTCCCTCGAAAAGTATCCTCCTTCACGTCCTCCTTTTCGATATTTGAAGACTAATCTGCAGGGCTTTTTTTTTTCATAGAACGCTCAGAATGGCGTTCCGGCACCTTTTTTTTTGATGGGTTTTTTTTCAACTTTTGCATGAGCTGTGCTACTCCCGCTATTGGCTTTCGAAAGCCAATAGGAATTGCTGCTGAGCACGCCAAAACACCTGGCTGGCAAACTTTGCACATGCAAGTTGTCTGTATTATTGTTGCAATGAATAAAATGTTTCTTTTATTTACGATATTTTTTTCTTCAATTTATTTGTGTCCTCCTTTTTATTGTAAAAAAGTTGGTCACCTTATTTTTTCAAAATAAAAATTTGCAAAGAGGGTCTTGGTTGGGGTTTTCCTGCCCATTTGCAAATTCGTCATCCCATCGCATCCCGTTTTTACAGTCATTTTATTTTCTCAGCATACAACTGTCAGCTATGTTTCATTCATTCATTCATTCATTCATTCATTCATTCAATACATCTCACTTGGGGGGGCTCACAAAGTTAAAAATGCATATAAACAAACAGCAAAAAAACAACAGTAACAAAACCCAGGGGAAACGCATTACATCCAATTGAAAAGCAAACTGTAAGCGTAACATAAAACATATCTCTAGAAAGAGTCTCTGTTCTGCTCTGAATCATAACATCTTTCTTTATAAAGAAAAAAAGACTTTTATCTGTTTCTGAGTCTGAGAGGGAAAAAAAACTACCTAGCAAATTAACTTTTTTTACCCTCGGCTGCAAGTTCAGTAAGCAGAGTGGCAGTGCCTTAACTTTGATATTTACAACCTTCCTGGTATTTACAACTTGGTGCCTAAAGAAAGAATCCGGAAAGATAAAAAGACTTGAGTCTGAAATATAAATCAGCAAAACTGGGAAGAAAAAATGGTCTTCTGGCTTTTTTTGCAAGGTGGGGGTAAATAAATAAATAAATTCAGGAAGGGGACCATCAATCTGACTTTCTATTTTGGAAGCAAACAGATAATGCCAGCATGGCAAATTTTGTTTTCCTCCGGTATGTGTTTAGACAGTCCTCTATTTACAGCCACTTGTTTAGTGACTATTTGAGGTTACAACAACACCTCATATATTTTATGCCTGGGACAAAAAAAAAGAGAGAGAGACAGAGTCAGCTGTAGGACAAGTTTTCTGCTTATCAGACATAAAAACCAGCTTTTTATTATTAAAATAAGAGAAAGATTCAAGACTCCAGGTAACTTTGATATTTCAGTTTTATTACAGTGGCGTACCTTGATATTCAAGGCCATCTCTTTGCTTCCCTCTTAAAAACAGTCACACCACCAACAACAGTAAAGCTAGTTTTTCTTCAAGCTGAAAACAGAGCCATTTGTCAAAGATGCTTTAACTTGGAACTTTTTTTTTTGTTAAGCAGGAGTTGGATTTGGTGGCAATTTTCAATTCAAGAACACTGATCAAATCGCATTTTACCCTGCAGAGAGTTGTCTTTGCCCTGGTGGCCCTTTCTTCTTATCCAAACTTAAATCATCCTTGAGAAATTCCTTTCAGCCCCAAATCAGTAAAGTTACAAGGATTTCCGGGATCAGATCGTTCAAGGCAATAAAGAAACATAAAATGCATTTGGATAGTGCTATAAAAGTTACTTTGGAAACGTAAAAAGACTTGAAAAGAAATCAGTGTCACAGTTCCTAAAACATTTCGGTTGCAGGTACAGAAAGTGCAATTAAGACATTCAAAGCAAATCAAATCAAAGAGGAAGATGTGATATTTCCCACCCCCATTATTTCATAATACAGAATATCTATTTATAGATGTGAGAACAGAACCTGCTATAATTCATCCAACAATTGCAGTTTTCAATTTATTTTCCCTCTATTTCAAATCTTCTAAAATATATATATATATATCTGGGTATGTGATTGATAAGACTCAACATTGACTAGATGGCCAAAAAATCTTTCATAATCAATTTCAAATCTAAGGAATTAGCAAAGATAATGCTGAAAACGTTTCTGCTTTTGGATCATTGATGGAAAATGTATGGCTTCATATGTAAGTATATAATAAAATAAATTTAAGGCTGGCACATAGCACTTAGATCTATAGAAGACTTTAATTTGCACACAAAACAAAATTTTATTTTGGGTGAGAATTGTTTAGCAACATTATTCCACTGTCTAGAATCCAAAATGACATAGCCCAGATTTATTTATTTTCATAAAGTAGGCCTATGTAGCTTTTAGAAGATGGCTAAAGTGCACACATATAACAAGACTTGTTTTAGTAATAAGAGCTATATGTACAATAATCCCTGTATTTAAAGTTTCCCTGATTTAGTATGGATTACAAATACCTAGCATTGTTGTGAAAAGTAAATCAACTGTAATAAATACTTTCTTTTGCAGTATCAGAAAAAGCTACTTTAATTCGAGAAAGTCATCCTGGGGTTTGTTTTTTTTTATGGTGATGATGACTAATGGAAAATACCTAACTCCTGCAGTTTGACTTGTAATGCCACAGGCAAGCACTGTTGCATTGTTAATACAATTTAAGAACTTCCATAACAATCATTGATTAATTGATTAAAAATGTTGGTCTGTTCCTCACATTCACCTATCGGTGCAAACCAGAGCAATGTAAACACGTTTAAATCCCATGAATTTGCATTGGCAGAATTGTAGGCAATTGTTTACATCTGTAGGAAAAGGAATAGGAGACTCCATTTTAACTCTGGTTCGGCCAAATTCATTTTCAGCAGCATACCTCAAGAGCAAAGATTCTTTCCAGTTTTGGATTCTTGTTTTCCTGGCCTCGTTGTAACGCCCAAAGTCCCACTGCAGGTTAAGTCTCAAGCAAATGTTTCAGTAAGGAGATTTTGCTGCTGTTGCTGATGCAGGACACCGATGCCCACGGCGGGAGCTGGCAAGGCGGGTCGACTTACAAGGCAGAGCTGGGAAGAGGTCAAAAGAGGCAGCATTAGACCCTGGGCCCATTTTTTCAACGGGATTAAAAAGATGCCGAAGATTCAGGCTTGGAATTCCGCAGCCAGCTCCTCAGATTCACATGCTAAGCTGGACGGGCATCACAATTCTGCGCAGTGAGTGGGTGCAAAATTCATCCTCTCTGTTTCAGCTTCTCTGCAACTTGAGTAGCTGGGCATGGAACAGGGCCACAGCCAAACTGAATGCAGGATTCTAACACCATAGAGATAGTCCTCAACTTACAACAGTTCGTTTAGTGACCATTCATAGCTGCAACGGCACTGAAAAAAGCGATTTAGGACTGATTTTTATACTTAACGACCGTGGCAGCAGACCTTGGCAACTTGATTCATATTTATGATGGTCGCAGTGTGTCCCCTTGGGGGAAGCCAGATTCACTTAACAACCGTATTATTAACTTAACATCTGTAGTTGTTAAGTTAATTTAGCAACTGTAGCAAGAAAGGTCATAAAATGGGGCAAAGCTCACTTAACAAATGTCTCTCTTAGCAACATACATTTTAGGCTCAATTGTGGTCGTAAGTCGAGGACCACCTGTAACTTAACAACTGCAGTTACAGGTTGTAAAATGGGGCAAAACTCGCTTAGCAACACAAATTTGGGGCTCAGTTGGGGTTGTAAGTCAAGGATTACCTGTACTGCGTTAAAAAAAACCTAGGAACTATACCAGGGGTAGGCAACCTTGGCTCTTTTATGACTCGCGGACTTCAATTCCCAGAATTCCTGAGCCAGCATGGCTCAGCTTGGAAACCTCTCCCTTTCCCCTCAGCATGGCTGGCTCAGGAATTCTGGGAGTCGAAGTCCATGAGTCATAAAAGAGCCAAGGTTGCTTACCTCTGAACTATACTAATAGGAGCTTACTCACAATTATCACAGTTTTTGGACCAATTATACTTTTATTAACAAACTGGATACAAATCCTAGATGCAACACTAATCTGAAGTCGTATTGTGGCTTCCATCTTTTTCTCCTCACAGAAACATAGATGGTGTCTCTCAAATTAAATGTTAGCATTTTAAAATTTCAACCAAATGACCCAGTCCAACACCTCCACATCATATCAGAGACATCTCTTGCTTCTCACTTCCTGCCCATTTCAAGAAATCCTGAAATTTTACCTTACAAGCCAGCTGTTTTTCAAACCTTGGGGACACAAAGGTCCATGGCCCCATGTTCTGAGGTTCTTCCTGGCTCCAGATGAAAGCTGCAAAACAAGAAAGGCATTGAAAGTTCACTTAGAACCACAGAATCCTAGAGCTGAAAGGGACCTTGGGGGTCTTCTAGCCCAACCCCCCCCCCTGCCCAAGACAGGAGTCTTTATTCTATCCTGGACAAATGGTTGTCCAATCTTTTCTTTCCTGGAGAAAGATTATTAGGTTTGGGTGATTCAAAGGCATTTACACTGTTTGATAGATAGAAGAGGCTCTCAATCAATCAGAATAAAGCTGGAAGGGACCTTGGAGGTCTTCTAGTCCAACCCCCTGCTCAAGCAGGAGACCCTATACCATTTCAGACAAGTGACTGGCCAATCTGTTGTTATAAACCTCCAGTGATGAAGCACCCACAACTTCTGGGGGCAAGCTGTTCCACTGGTTAATTGTCCTCACTGTTAGGAAGTTTCTCCTTAACTCCAGGTTGCTTCTCTCCTTGATTAGTTTCCATCCATTGTTTCTTGTCCTGCCTACAGGTGCTTTGGTAAATAAGTTGACCCCCTCCTCTTTGTAGTAACCTCTCAAATACTGGAATACTGCTATCATATCCCCTCTGGTTCCTTCTTTTCTCTAGACTGGCCATACCCAATTCCTGCAACCGTTCTTCACATGTTTTATTTTCCAGCCTTTTAATTGTCTTGATGCTCTTCTTTGCGCAAAGTCTAATGAGTTTGACTTACCACTGAAGTACAGAACCAATAATTACAGGGAATTATTTTAAATTTGACTTTTTTCCCCCCTCCCTCTTGATTGTATTGCACAAAAAAATATTGCTGAGATCAGCAATATTTCTTAAGTGAAAAAACATGTCTCTTTCCACTGTACAGTAAGTCATAAATGTCTAAACAGAATCAGACAAGCTGAGTTGTTTACAATGACCACATTCTCACTCCATAATACTCTTTTAATTACTATACCGTTTACTACAGGATCCCCTAACTTCACTTGCTATGCTTAATCCTCAACAGGTTGCGTTCTTTCCTGTTTTGGTTTTTCAGTTGTTAGCAACAAGACATATTATTGTTCTTGTCCAAAATATGGACAAGCTGGGACGATTTCAATGTCTAAATAAACCCTGTATTGGGGCCCCTTCAGAAAGAGAGCATTGGTTAAAAATCTCAGTAAAAGAAAACTCTTTCTCTCTAAAATCAGGTTTTAATCCATTCTTTTCCAAAAGCTAGAATGTCAGCTGCCACCTTATGCTTGCTTGTGTTTTGCTGCTATGGGGTGACTGACTGCCATGAACTGTGAGGAAGGGGAAGGAAGAAGGGAGTGTCTGGGGAAACCGAAAGTAAGTCCTCAAGATGCTGCCTCAAGGTCACCCAGCTGGAAGAAAGACTGGGCTGCCTATCAAACTACACTTGGACTGACTGTTATGAAAACTTCTTGCCCAAACCTGATTGGTTACACTGCAGTGGGCAAGGAGAGACAGTTAAGGGAGGGAAAAGTAGAATTTAGGTCAGGGGTAGGCAACTTTGGCTCTTTTATGACTCGTGGACTTCAACTCCCAGAATTCCTGAGCCAGCATGGCTCAGCATGGAAACCTCTCCCTTTCCCCTCAGCGTGGCTGGCTCAGGAATTCTGGGAGTTGAAGTCCATGAGTCATAAAAGAGCCAAGGTTGCCTACCCCTGATTTAGGTATTTGGGTGTGCGATTTTCATTTCTGGCTCTGCATTATAGGTAGTCCTCAACTTATGAACACAATAGAGCCCAAAATATATGTTGCCCAAGTGACAAATGGGTTGAGTTTTGCCCCATTTTACGACCATCCTTCCCACATTTGTTAAGCGAATCATTGCAAGTTGTTAAATTAGTAACACTGTTGTTAAGCTAATCTGGCTTTCCCATTAACTTGGCTTGCCAGAAGGTCACAAAAGGGGATCCCATGACCTCAGGACAGGGGTAGGCAACCTTGGCTCTTTTATGACTCGTGGACTTCAGCTCCCAGAATTCCTGAGCCAGCATAGCTGGCATAGCTGGCTCAGGAATTCTGGGAGTTGAAGTCCACGAGTCATAAAAGAGCCAAGGTTGCCTACCCCTGCCCCTAGGACACTGCGACCGTCATAAACACGAGTGAGTTGTCAAGCATCCGAATATAAATGTAAGCCATGTCACTTTTTTCAGTGCTGTTGTAACTTCCTATGGTCACTGTTGTACATTGAGGACTACCTGTACGGCAATACACTTTAATCTCTAATGAACTGTACCTTTCTTAACAAATGGAATCAAAGATCGGTTTTATTTAGAGCAGTGGTGGCGAACCTATGGCACAGGTGCCAGAGGCGGCACTCGGAGCCCTCTCTGTGGGCACGCGCGCCATCGCCCCAGTCCTAGGCCTTCAGCTGGGTTTTATAAAACCTTTTCGCTTTAGGCCTCCACCGCCGTGTGCAAAAAAAAAAAAAAAAAAAAAGGTTTAATCAGTCATTTCAACTTCTCGCGGGGAAAAAAAAGATCTTGCAAAGTTGGAATTGATTGATTGAACTTTTTTAGTCCCACCCAGTCTGCCGCTACCACCGCAGCCACGCCCAGCCAATGGGCCACGCCCAGCCAATGGGTCACACCCACCCGGCACTCGACGATGCATAAGTGGGTTTTGGGTTGCAGTTTGGGCACTCGGCCTCTAAAAGGTTCGCCATCACTAATTTAGAGGCTTAAATTATGGCGGGCCGGACTTACTAGAGTCCACTAACCTTTGGCCTTAGTGAACTTATTCATCTCTTGTCGCAGAGCTTCCAGAGGGAAAGGACACAATTCTTCTAATCTCACAATGGCAGTATTGTGCTTCCTTTCTTCAAGCAGCTCTCGTTGTTTGGCCAAAGCGTAATAATGTTTGCCAGAACAGAGAATCACCTTGCTGACACTAGGGAGAAAGACAAAAAAAAAACCAACGGAATAATTTCAAACACACAGAGCCAAGGAAACAGGAATCATACAAATTTTAACTGTTCTGGAAAGGCAGTTCCTAAAACATATTAAACCTCATTTCAGAGGTTTGTTTCTTTATCTCTCTCTCTCTCTCTCTCTCTTTCTCTCGTCAATTACATTTGATCTATAAGTAGTCTTTGACTTATAACCATCATGGAACCTGCTTGTTCTGGTTATAAGTTGCGACGATGGTAAAGTGGGTCTTCACGTGTCCGACCTGATTTTAAAATCTTTTTTTTTTGTGGCGGTCGTTAAGAGAACATGGATGTTAAATGAATTCACAGCTGTTACAGTGAATGAAGTTGTTAAGTGAACCCGTTGTTCACTGGTTTATTGGGGCTTGCATTGGGGTTTCGTTCCTATAAGCCGTCCAGAGACGTTGTGAGTGAGTTGGGCGGCCGTATAGCTATTCCTAATACATAAATAAATACTACAGGCATAAAGAACCAAGCTACCTTTTAGGATCCACTGTTGAATCACCAATGACAGGTCTGAAGGTGGTTCCTGGAGCCATTTCTAGTAAGGTTGACACGGCAGTCTAGGCCATGGAGAAAAAAGGGAAAATATGCAGGTAGAATATCTTGAGTGTTTGGAAACAAATGGAAGATGCTGGCCAAGTCCAACTGGTTTAGTAAACATCAATCTACCCAATTATTTATATGTGTGTCTGTGTGTATAATATTATATTTATATCTATACATCTGTATCTATACATCTACCCATCTCTTTTTCTCTCCCCATATCTATCTCTATCTATCTCTCTATATATATCTATCATCTATTTATCTAATCTATATCTCTATCGTATCTATCTATCTATCTATTCTATCATATCTATCTATTCTATCATATCTATCTATCTAATCTATATCTCTATCATATCTACTTATCCATCTATCATATCTATCATATCTAATCTATATCTCCATCATATCTATCTATCTATCTATCTATCTATCTATCTATCTATCTATCTATCTATCTATCTATCTATCTATCTATCTATCTAATCTCTGTCTGTCTGTCTGTCTGTCTGTCTATCTAATCTCTATCTATCTAATCTCTATTTATTTATCCTCTCCCCCCTCCCCGGTCTGTCTCTCACTCCATCTATATTAAATTGTATATAATCATTATTATCCCATGTAAGCTGGGGGTTCAGTAGCTGATTTTAAGTTGTCTACAGCTAGGCCTACCTATCTGACGGTTATGAGAAGCTTCAAAGCGATTCTGAGAAAATATTTGAGGCAGGATGGGAAAAACAGAAAAACCCCAAGGTTGAGAAATGCTTTCTTCTAATGTTCTATTCATCGTTTTTGGTCCCCAGAGAGCCCTCTCTCTTACTTTGGTAATGGACCTTCTCACTCTCATTGTTAAGGTCATTCTCTTTATTCTCTATATGAGCTCTGGGCAATACAACTCAACGGTAATTCAACTATCACGGTCGTAAAGTGAACGACATGGTCGTTAAGTTGAACCCATTGTCCTCAATGGACTTTTTTTGTTGCCTGAAATTGGAAACCATGTCCAGTTTTTGACTAAAAAACCTATTATAAAGACTGGCTGCCAAGCACCCAAATTATGTGACCCCACGGGGAGGGAAAATCACAGCTGTCAGAATTCCGAATTTGGATCGTAAATACTTTGGAGGGAGTCTGTTGTAACTTTAAATGGTTGCTAAGCAACCTGTCCCAAGTCGAGGGCTGCCCGTAAAGCCATCTGGCTGAGGAATTCTGGGAACTGAAGTCCACAAGTCTTAAAACCGCCACGTTTGGAGACCCCCGCCATAAAGAAAGGAAAGATGAATAGTAACATTGAAACCAGGAAGTCTTGTTCTACGCACAGGTAAGCGAAGGAGAGTTTTGGGCGACACCACAATGAGGGGTTTCCGGAAGTTTCGAACCATCTGTCTCCGAAGCAAATGGAAATATTGTGCTGGGGTGGTTGGATGGACCACAGACATATTTATGTGGTCCCCATCGATCCCCTCTTCTGAGCTATC